TAAATCCACCCCACCCACATCTCTCTGTCACTCATCCTCATACTTACACTTTCTCTAAATTCTGTTTTGATTTCCGGAGTTGTTTTTTTCTGTTTTCATTTTTGAATTTGTAGGTCTGATGATTTGGATCGTATTTACGATTCCAATGGAATAAATTATGACCATGGAATATTAGTGTTTAAGCTTTTTTATATATATATATATATATATATATATATATATATATATATATATATATAAAAGAAAGAGGTTGTAGTGGTTCCAACGAGAGAAAAGTATGTATATTAAAAAGAAGAGAAGAGAGGTGCCGCAAACGTTTTTGGTTGTAATGTGGATTTATTTAGACAAAAATATTATGCTTTGTTTTACATAATTTTACTACACGTGTTTCTGGTCTCGCGACCGTCTTCAGGTAAAAGCGGAGATTTCCACATATTATTAAAAATAATTAATTTTTTCTTTTGTTTTTCAATGTTAAATATTCTCGATATGAGACATTTTCTGTTAGTAATCCGAATGTCTTTCTTGAATTGGCAGTGAAGAGTTCTGCGCGAAGGGTCATAAAACAATTAAGGTTGGTCCAAGCGAAATGATGAATTACTTATCGCCATTTTATCTTTTAATGTTTTACTGACCCCTATGTGTTCTTGGATGTGTGTGTATATATACGTGTGTGTATACGTGTGTGTGTGTGTGTGTGTGTGTGTGTGTGTGTGTGTGTGTGTCTACGAGTGCTACGGTTACTATGCAGCCCAGTACTATCTGCCGGATCATTGGTGAGATGTAGATATGCCTTGGTTGGTGTCAAGGCACGCAGTAGTCCCACTGAGAGTGTTGGAGCTTCAGCCTTCTTTCAAGTATCCAACTAGGAGTAGGAAAACACTTGCGGTTTGACAACAGCTAATAGTGTTGGCCGCTTCTTTACTGTACACATATTATTCTTGCATGCTGTTTTTCGACTACGAAGAGCTTCCCAAGCGGTCGATGAAGTCCTGAAGGCCGAAACGCGTCACAAGTAAGCTTTTTCCTCTTTGTCATACAATTTCCACAATACCAATACTGTTCTTGATATATCACAATATATATCGTTATCACACACACACACACACACACACACACACATATATATATATATATATATATATATAAAAACGTGTGTGTGTATTTGTGTGTATGTTCCGCCATATATTCACTCAAGCTCACTAAGAATGTCATGCATTGTTTTCCTTTATCCCACTTGCCTTCAATCTGTCATATGCGCATCAGATTTACCAAGCCCTCTTTCCTCATTATATGCCCTAGAAATCTCAACTGTCTCTTCCTGATGTTAAGTGTATGCTTTCTTTTTGTTTAACATTTCCTCTAAAACATTGTCTTTGGTCACATGTTCGGTACATGGTATCCTCAGCATCCTTCTGTAGAACCACATTTCTGTTTTTTTTGTTTTCTTCCTCATCTTTGAGGAGAGTGTCCAGCATTCACTGCCATACAGGTGGACAGGTATCACGTAACAGTTTAGTACTCTTTTCCTTGTTTATAGCGAAGTTTAGTAGTAGAAGTAGTAGTAATAATAATAATAATAGCGATAATAATAATAATAATAATAATAATAATAATAATTGTTATTAAAGACCACAAACAAAAAAAGTACCTCTTTATTGATATGGCAGTCCCTGCAGACTGCAATGTATCTTTGAAGATATTCAAAATGCTGTCAAAATACAAGGACCTTGAAATAGAAATCTCGAAAATGTGGCACATGGGAACATCAACAATCCCTGTTGTAGTTGGAGCCCTAGGACTGGTTGGAAAAGATTGCAGTAGATTAATTGAAGGGATTCCTGGAAGTCCATGCCTCAAAGAGATACAAAAAAGTGTTCTGACAAGTACAGCCCACACTTTACGAAGGGCTTTATCTATGTAATTTAATTTTTTTTTTTTTTTTTTTGTCAGTGGAAAGTGTCATGCTGCCATTTCTAACCTTAGGTCTCTGAACGGGACCCGGAAAGAAATGTGTAAACGCCAGAAATCAAAGAAAATAATAATAATAATAATAATAATAATAATAATAATAATCTAGTGATCTTATATCAGAGGACCTTAGAGTCTAAATCGGTGGCCAGGTCGTCCCAAGCTATCGATTTGGCAATGTTTTGCCTAAAATTCTTTAATGACATGTGGGTAATGTGTAATTACACTACTCCCCTTTGGTGAGTGACGTGGGAAAATGGCCAGACGTGATCAAGTAGTTATCATCTGTAATTTTTAATTTTTTATTTATTGATTGTTCACCCAGTGCAAGTCCCAAGAGCCAGGCAAGATAGAGGCTTACTGCGTGAGATTGTAATGGAGAGGTAAGTATTATGAAGACGAATAGGATAAATATATCGGTTGAGCCTGGACTTAAAGAGACCAATATTTTAATTGCCAGGGAATCGTTCTCTTGGGAGTGTTCCGCAAAAGTAGCAGTTCTGAGGAAGAAGCTGTCTGAGTGGAACTTGCTTTTTATCAAAGGAACACGAGGTGAATGGGGATAAGTTGTTACCGTGAACAGAACATGGCGGGTCCTAGCTATGAAGGTCAGAGCTAGTGGGTCTAAGGAATGTAACTCGTTCGAACATCTGCTATAGTAATAGCAACATAGTAGTGAAAGGTTGCTCACTTTTCGTCTGGGATAAGGGTTGCACGGTGGTTAATAATCAATCACCCACAAGGATTGTGTAGGCGTTTTTGAACTCTGTCGAGGCTGGTTCCGTGGGCATTGGGCATTAATACGATTCCCTCATTGAAGAAAGTTTTTTCTTAAATTCAGACTGATGACAAATTATATACTAATTATATACAAATTATAAACTGTATTAGGTCTTCCTTAAATATGCAAGTACTTTCGACTGTACATTCAGTCATCTTCATGCATGGTAATTATTTTGTTTTTGGTAAAATTTACTTTTTGTATGAATGATTCATTGTAATATATATATATATGTGTGTGTGTGTGTGTGTGTGTGTGTGTGTGTGTGTGTGTGTGTGTGTGTGTGTGTGAACATTAAAGTCAACATTCAGAGGTAACAGGTTGTTTCATGCTAGACGAAATCGTCAGTCCACAACGATTGTTTCTAGCATGAAACAGCCTGTCGCCTCTAAGTGTTGACTTCAATGTTCACTTTTATATTTACACACGCTCTATCTCTGATATTGAGCACTTTATCCCATAAATATAGCGCATCTTAAGAGTATATTTCTTCATATATATATATATATATGCGTGTGTGTGTGCTTGTGTAATTTATTTCACCTTTTGTAAATCATTTCATCTTTGATGCATTTTAGATAAATATAATCTTCTAATATCTACACTCCCAATATTGCTTATTATAAATATTATTTTTTTAAATAATTATTCACACTAAAGTCATCCAACCACAAATTAAACACCCAACGCCTACTGTTAATTTCGTTGAAATAATAATAATAATAATAATAATAATAATAATAATAAAAATAATAATAATAATAATAATAATAATAATAATAATAAATGTGTAAGCAAACACTGGGTATGAACATCGGCCAGCGCCGATTTACAGAAATAGAAGATGTCACCATTCTGTGGGATTATACCATCCACACACACAGAAAAATTGAAAGCAAATAGGCCGGACATTATTGTCAAAAACCAGAAAGAAAAAACTTTGCCTACTAATTGATGGCTTGTCCAGCGGATTGTAACATAGCAACCAAGGAATTTGAAAAACTATCAAAATACAAAGACCTGGAAATTGAAATAGAAAAATGTGGAAATTGAAAACAAGAATAATACCAGTGGTAATAGGTGCACTTGGAATTATAAAATGGAACAAAACAACACATTGAAAGAATCCCTGGAAACCCCAAGCAAGAGACATACAGAAAATTGTCTTTATTAAGTACAGCACACACACTAAGGAGAACTTTGTCTATGTAACGCTAGCAACTTCATCGGAGATAAAAAAAAAAAAAAAAAAAAAATTAACATGAAATGTGGCCATAACAACACACCACGACCTGCCTTGGGTCTTTCCCAGACTTAATAGGTAGTGTGTCCATAACAAAATCGAATGATGATGATGATAATAATAATAATAATAATAATAATAAAAATATTATATAAAAATAGTAAAAAATTATGAAATTTCAACCAGGTAATTCGTTAAATGAATTCATATACGTTGCTTTGGAATGGCCAAAAAGTCATCGCTCTTTGTTTATCAGGAGATAATACTAGAAACGTATAGGTTTTATCTATATCCATTCAAAGGATCTATTTTCATTAAATTGGTGCTTACGGCCATATCACATACGCTCACTGAAGTTAAGCAACATCAAGCCAGGTCAGTACCTAGAAGGGTGATCGCTTTGGTATACCAAGTGATATAAACTTGGATTTGCCGGTGGTGTAATGGATAATGGCTCGGGATTGAAGATCCGAGTTCCAATTCTCGTTGGCTTCGTTATATCCACTTATGTACAAATACCCTTGGTAAAGGTGTAAATCCACCCCTTTTAAACCCAACTATAGGTTTAGTAAAGCTTGTATCACTAAACCATTATTATCTAAAAAATAAAATAAAATAAAATCTAAAATTATTTTCTGGCTTTAAATAACCTGCAAAAGGGCTGATAAACCGTAAAAAATGAACCACTCAATCAACCATTATAGTACGGCAATCATTCTATTCGTGCGCATTTAAAAAATATAAAAAAAATTATTTACTTATTGATAGATTCGTTTTCTACGGCTTATCAACATTTTGCCATTTATTTAAAGCCAGAAAATATACTTTTTAAATTGTAAGAATTTTTACTAATTAACCCATATCTGGGGGATAAGAGGTGCATTCATAACTCCCCCAAGGGTTATTGCGCGTAAGTGAATATGATGAACCCAACTGGAAAGGAAACTCAGCTCTCCTTCTAACAATTCCGAGCCATTATCCTTTATACCACCCGTACAACCAAGTTTACAGCACCTGGTATTCCGTTGAGGTCAAAAATCTAGGTACTGACCAAGCTCGATATTGCTTAACTTCGGTGATCGTACGCGAACCGGTATTTCAACGTGATACGACCATAAGCCTGGTTCTAATACTATAGATTAGAAAGAAACAAATAAGATTCTGGAGTTATACATATTTTAAGAAACGTAAAAATCTGGCTCTACGCATAAATAGATTGATAAAGTTTATTGAAAAGGTACGGTGATTGATGGAATATGTCAAAACTTGTTTGCGAGATTGCATTGAACTTGGTGACAATCACTTCAAGACAATTTAGTATAATGCCGTGTCCATTTATACAGAGCATATATATATATATATATATATATATATATATATATATATATATATATATATATATATATATATATATATATATATCGAATGAGAACAAAGTAATATATAAATTCCAACGTTCACAGCATTAATCCAAAAGAGGGCTCGATACCGATAGTAGAGCGATAATTATTTATTTATGATAACCATTTTCGATTCTCACCCGTCAAAGTGCAGTTGAGATGCACTGAAACGAAGTTGCATCTTTGTAGTGAGTAAAATGGTTTTGTCTATATGATAAAATTATCATATATATATATATATATATATATATATATATATATATACTCTCCGTCGAATTCGACGTATGAGGGTCACGCAGATCAGTTCCCAGGAAACCGAGAGCCTGACAACAACACATGAGATTTGATTATAGTGGTGAAGGTTTCGTGCAGGACTATCAGCACTTTTTGAAGGGCCGAATACAGAGACCTGATGCACTATGTGCCACAAGGTCCCCAAACGACACTCCGATGGTTTTGAATTCAGAGATTTCCTTCTCCTAGACCATTTGCCATCCAAAGCTATAGAACTATATATATATATATATATATATATTATAAATTAATTGATTTAAAATATGGTTATTTTCGCTACACAGTTCCAACCATGTTTCAAAAATAGAAGCTAAAAACCCTAATTTTATTTTTTGCAAATAAATTAAAAAAACATTAGTTCCATTTCATCTTCAATGCTCTGTAAATTTACATTGAGCACTATTTTTGTAAAAATAAAATATCTATAAGAACACCAGTTTTATATCTTACTTTTTCTTTCTTTTATATATATATATATATATATATATATATATATATATATATATATATATATATATATATATATATATATATATATATATATATATATATATATATATATATATATATATATATATATATATATATATATATATATATATATATATTTATTATATTATTATATTATATATTATATTATATTATATATATATATATATATATATATATATATATATATATATATATATATATATATATATTGGCTACATTCTGACAATGGGTGGGGGTCAAATTTAAAATTAATCAATACGTATATTGTATAGTGATGTCAAAGTGGTGAAGGTTTCTCAAAGCTCGACTGAACCGGAAAAGAATGTATGAATTATTTATACGTAATATCATTGTTTATATACATATTGAATATTTTACGTGCTACTCGTTAAAACCCTTGGGAAAAGTAAGAATCAATCCCTTCTCAAACTATGGGTAAATAGCAGGACAAAGTGGGTCCTGTAGCTTTGGATAGCGACTTGTCTAGGAGAAGGAAGAACCAGCCTGGAGAGTGTTGGGTTCTGTCAGGCTACTCTTACTGCGGCTACTGTACATGTAGTGTCCTTACGACCCTAACGGGTTACGGGTCTCGTAATCGTGAAATAATTGATAGATACTTTAAAATACAGTCCTTTGTAGTGAAAAATGATTTATTTGATGTGGGTTGTGTCTATTTTATAATAATAGTATCAAGTATTTTGAGTCTTTCCTTGCAGTGAGCGTTATGTAGTACTTTAGTATTATCTACTAATATTTCTCTTATGTTAATAGTAATAGTATCCAGCTGTTGGTAATGACTGAGACAGTTCTAGGACAGATGCGTACTGGACATTTTCGTCTCGGACAACTGCGTACCAGACAAGTGTGCCTCTGGATAATTGCGTCCCTAGACAAATGCGTCTCTGAATAATTGCGTACGTCTGATAATTTCTGGAAGCTTTTAAAGACAATTATTATAAATTTTGAAAAAAAGCATAGGTAGTAATCATAAATTTTTAAAAGAAGGAATAAAAGGAAAGAAATAAAAATTAAAAGTTTATTCTTGTTTAAAATGCAATGACAGATTAACAGTTTTGCAAGATCGCACCCAGTGAGGATCGAACTCACTATTCAGCCATAATTGATCAAACGTGACCAGCTTGCTAACCATTACACTTAACTTACATTAAATTTTGAAAAAAGCATAGGTAGCAAACTTTTAAAAGAAAAAATATTATTTTCTGAGCAAAGACCGAAAGTGTGGAGCACCCAGTGAGGATCGAACTCACTATTCAGCCGTAATTGATCAAACGTAACCAGCTTACACTTAACTTACATTAAATTTTGAAAAAAGCATAGGTAGCAATCATAAACTTTTAAAAGAAGGAATAAAAGGAAAGAAATAAAAATAAAAATTTTTAATTTTGTTTAAAATGCAATGACAGATTTACAGTTTTGCTCTACACATCGCCAGTATATTTTTTGTTTCATCGACATTTTTCTTATGGTAGTGATGGCTGTAATTTTCCTGGTCCTCAAATATTTTCCGACCAGTGTTTTATTTTCGGAACTTAGCCATGGGTTCCAAATAAAAATAAAATCTATAAAATCCAGAATCTATTAGATGTTGTGGTACGCACTGCTGGAGTGAACTGAAACGTAGCGTAATTTTCTCTTGCTTTAAAAAAGAAATTTTTCTTTCTTTTTTTATTTACGGTAACTATACTGTTGCCATATATGGTCTTCTAACCCCGCTGTTCATCTCGAGGTTCTCGACAAAATCCAAAGATGGATATGCAATGTGATCGGTCCTGACTTGGGGTCTCGACTCTAGTCACTTTCTCAACGACGTAATGTGGCTTCACTCTGTCTTTTCTATAAATTTCATGGCATCTGGTCTGATGAGTTATTTTCACTGGTGCCCCAACTGCATGCAAGCGTGCTACTAGGTTGGCAGCTCGGTCCCACCCTTTTACTGTCGAAACAGTTAAATGTAACCGCCTCTTCTGCTCCAACAGCTTCTTCTCTCGCACTTCCCGACAGTAAAACTCCCTTCCTCTTACTTGCTTCCCTGATGACTATAATCATCAAAAATTTAAATGTAATGTCAATCGATATCTTCTGTTACCTTGATACCTGTTCTTCTTTTTTATCCCCCCCGTTCTTCTTTTTATCTTTTCTTCAACTCCTCCCCCCTATACACAGTCTTTTTCCTTACTTACACTGTCTGTAAACCCTTGCGTACTAGTGACGCTTCCACCTTACTGGGGGTGAATTGCTTAAAATTACATTTCTGCTTGTTTAAAATAATTAAATGTATTAGCGCACAAATTTATACAGTGTCACCCGGATATAAGAGAGTTGTCGGGACCGGAGAAGTCTCTTATATCCGGGTTTCTCTTATATCCGGGTTTGGTCTATTTTATATACATTAACACAGGCTCTAATTTGGGACCAGAGAAAATCTCTCTTATATCCGGGTCTCTTATATCCGGGTTACACTGTATATTATACAACTCTTTTACAAAAAAATGGTAACTTCAAAAAATTTATCAGATATACGCAATTATCCAGAGACGCATTTGTTTAGGGATGGAAATGTCCAAGGACGTAATTGTGTGGTACGCAATTGTCCCGGACGTAAATCTCCAGTACGCAACAGTCCGCCCAACTGACTGAGACGGGAGAAAATAATTGAATAAAACAGAACAAGTTTATCCACAATTCGAGAATTGAAAAAAAAGAGAATAAAAAAAAAAGGTCTCATCAATTCACAGTTGAATTGGCTATATTAAAAAAAAACTCTTTAAAAAAAAAATGATGCCTTTATCTTGATCTACGTCCTTCTCTTTATCCTTTCCTCAAACAAACCCCTTTACTCATACTTTCGCTCTCTGTAACTCATTGCGCGCTAAAAACACTCCGACCTTGCTTGGGAAGAAATGCTTAAAAAATATATATATATATAGATGATTATGAACTTTGGTAAATTTACGGATTACATAAATCAACTAAGTCGAAAAGTTGAAAAAGTTAATAAAAAACTGGTTAGGCAGAATTTGTAATCGCGAAACATGTTACGTATATAAATTAAATGATCCATTAATTTTAATATGCCGTAAAATAAACCAAACCAAACAGAATTTCGAATCCTTATTTTCAGGGCAGACATTCTTTTTAGGGATTGGCGCTGCACATTCCTCCAAGTGTTTCAGTTGTCAGAACATACTTTACTTAATTTATCTTCCCTCCCCGAAGCTAAGTTGCGTCTGAAGGGAGTTGTGGACAAAAATTGAATGCATTTTATTAAGCACTGGTCGGCAAATAGTGATAAATCGCTTTAGTGTGTAACTTACTCTTTTTGAGTAGATATACATCTACTTATCATCTCTCAGTTTGTCTTTGGACAGAGGGGCGACTGAGAAAATAATACTGAAGAGGTGCCCAGCCCTGGGGAACAGCTGCCCGAGACCGCGCCCTCCGATTGTACCAGAGGGAGGGATTGGTGCTCGCACCAAGGCCAGCGCAACGGACGGCTGCGGAGGCTGAGGAGAATTTTTGTTCCTATCCCGGGTGTACGCGCTCGGGTCTCCACCTAAAACTGGACCTTGTGTTAGATCTCGTCCTGGTGCGGGGATAGAGTAAATCGCCTCGGTTTGGGTAACATCGAAATTTCTCGGTGAAACCGGATTTATCATAAACAGATCGGATGTCACCCAGTGAGGGTCGAACTCACTATTCAGTCGTAATTGATCAAACGAGACCAGCTTGCTAACCATTACACCACGTCGAGGTGGCCATATTATTTTCCATAACTATTTTTTTTAATTCTATCGTTTCCCTCTCACTAAGTCTGAACAATCCTTACACTAGAATGAACGATTATAAATTTGCAAACAAAAAATGTTAACGTTTTAAACCCTAAGACATCAGATCATTATAAAATATTATT